CTCTCTCTCTCTCTCTCTCTCTCTCTCTCTCTCTCTCTCTCTCTCTCTATTTTCCACTCGCTATGACTACACAAACAAAAAGCTGTTAAATGCGGTATAAAAAATTGATCTAAAGTGAAAACACATCAACAAAGAGAAGCAAACAAGCGAGAGTTAGTGTCTATTAAAGACCCTGTGAGACAGTTATACAAACTTTTGCTTTAGTTTTAGAAATACTAAAAGTGTCAAGGTAATGTTTTAAGCAGAGCCTGAAACAAAGACTTAGATATGGGTGTAAGAAACCAAAAAGTTTAAGCAATTCACACTTGAACTTGATTTGTGGCAATATGAAAAAGCATTTGTTAAAATTGAAAGTTGGCACTTTTATAGCAACAAAAAAACGCTTTATGACTCAAAACCGAACTKATGACTCAACACATGAATGAAAGCCCATCTGGTGTGCTACTGTGATGAGGTGCAGCTTAAAAAGGCAACAACAGGTGGATATTTTAGCAGATTTGCATGAACGAAAAGACTCAGAGAGCCCTCCCACCTTTGACCTAAATCTGTTGTTTAAAGAAAAATATATTGGGATTCTTCACTGGAGAACGTTCTGTCATGTTTTTTCAAAGCTGTTTCTTTCCTTTTCAGTCCCTCCCCACAGCCCACTCCAGGAAACAAGTCTTATCAAAGTAAAAGGGCTAACTCTGAAGCAAAGCCTGCCTTTAATCTTGGCCCGATTGTCCAGGCCTCAGTCAGTGTGCATAATATCTTTCTGCTGCTGCCTTTAATTAAAACTGACATTGACAAAAGGGTGTCCATTAGTAGTGCAATAATGTGTCTAGTCAGAATAATCAGCGCTGTGTCTCATTTGTGAGGAAGAAAAGGACACAGTTGAGAAACATTATGGTCAAGGGTCATGTTATTTTCTCTCCTTATTTTTCCAAGATTTTGAATTGCATCTTAAAATATCACTTGGAGATGTGTCCCCCTTCAGCGTTCGACCCTCAGTCTGTAACATTCTACAGATCTACTGGAAAAAAAAACATTCTACAGATCGTCTTTTGTGTAGTTTATCATTTGCCAAACTGATTTTGACGAGCGGAGAGAATAAACGCTGCCATCCACTTTGTAGCATCACTCAAAAACATAAAAAATTAATAAAAAATAGCAGAAATGAGCAATGGCAGTGAACTCTCAAAATGCAACGTGCTGTACGCCTGAATAACTCCTGTCAGACAGCAGTAGGTGTAGCACGCAGAATAAATTGGTGACGTGCCCTGAAGGATAAAAAACAGGTAACATGCATGTGTGCGTTTGTATTTTATCTGTTTATTGCAGCAAAAGTAACTAGATCAAGCATTTGTGAATACATGCTAAATATATTTAATTTATTTGGAGGTGATAAATGGCTCTCTCAGCTGTGTAATAGAATTAGAACAAAAGGAAACTGTTTTCAGCTCACAGATTTGTTTGTATAAAAAACGTCCTTGTGAACATGAATATAACTCAAGCAGGATGATTTCGCAGGATTTAATTAATTAATAATCAAAGCACAGAACTAAACTTACCCCCCCACACACCTTTATTAWGGTTATAATGTGGGATTTCATGTGTTTGAATTCAAAAGAAAATTAAAATCATTTCTAATAGGCAAGACGTTTTCCCATTGAATTCCTGAAGGACGTTTTGACGAGGAAGAGTAATGGTATCAAATTGTCCTTTCTTTTTAAAATGCCCCCAACAGTTCTAAGAGAGAGAAGGGAAAAAAATGCTGTTAATTTAATCAAATAAGTGACCTTTTTAAAAAGAAATCAAAGAGGATTCATTAGCTTTAGTAAAGTTTGGCTGACAGCAGCTTTGAAAGGCAGATGCTGCTGCTGTGGCTTTTAATGAGCCAACCCTAATTAGGGAGCAACACTGGAGCCTAGAGAAGGTGGCTGACTAGGAGAGGAGCCAATGGTAAATAAGCTTGCTTATTTACTTCCARTGTGTGTAATGACAGCACAAATTTTTAATTAGAAACACAAGATGGGTAAAAACAACAAAAAAAGGCAAATCTTTACATTAGGTCAAACACAAACACAGGAAACATTACAAAACTAGACTGATGTGCCCCCATTTGCCTCACCCCCACGTCTCTGATGAGGGCGTTTAGCAAGGCAGGACGGACGAGGTGAGTGGTCAGACAAGAGCATGCAGCATGAAGACACAGGASAGCCTGACCTGCAGGCTGTTAAAACTGTGAAATGAAAGGAAGGGGGGAGTGGGGACAACTCATGTATACAATATGTGACCCTCAAGTTGTTGATGTGTACTTTCAGTGTGAGTCAAGGCTACCAGGGTGAGCATGCTTCTCAACCACGCAGTACACAAACACAATCATGACACACAGCTTGGGCAAATATGTTAGAATCCATGTTTGACAATCTTCAAAAAAAAAAAAAGTTCAAACGCATGCGCACACACAAACATGTGCACGTATACATGGGACAAAGTCCACAGCTAACAATGTGTCAGAGAGATTAACCCCTGTGAGCCCGCCACCACCCCCTTGCCCCAACCTGTGATTCTAAATGGCATCAACAGAAATGAAACTAACCTCAGTAAAAAGCTGCTACGAAGAAAGCCCTCCATGTCAGCGTGTGGGGTTCTGGCAGGAGAAATCACAGAGATTACTTATTTTTTTCTTCTTCTTCACTAAGGAATGAGTGATAATCAAAAAGAGCAGGAGGAAAAAGGAAAGAGAAAAAAGAATAAAAAATACTGATTATACATTTTCCTATACAAGATCTTATGTCTTTAATTAAAGCAGAAATATGACTTGGAACCCATCCCCTCTTTATGAACTGACATCATTAATTATACCTTGTTCCAACGAGGGATTGGATTTGCATACAACATCGGTTTGCACTGATGATATGTTTGCATCAAATAAACTCTGCCTACTGATCCCCACACAGCCTTTATTCGCTGCTGTGTGCAGATATATGCGCATGAATCCAGCTCTGAAACCACAGATCCAGTCTGTTCAGAGTAGCCAGCGGTGGTCCAGCTSCAGCCCATGTGTGGCAAAAGCTGCTGTGGCTTCGAGGAGCCCAGCCGCTGGGAATCACAGCACCAATGAGGCAAAAGGATGTGGTCATGATGTCACCACTTGTATGGGTCGCTCAGAAGCCATAGCCGCAAAATACTAGAGACGCATGGCTAAAATTGACTTACGACAGGTTTCCATTTTGTTATTGGGCTGTGTAATAAATGTTTTCATTGTGTTAGATTGGCTGGAAATCGATTGGGGTGTGCGTGTGCTTTGTTTTAAGTGGTAAAAATGAGCAGAAATTTAAGGAACAAATTTGTCAGTGGAAATTTTATTACTTGCTGCAAGTCTTTTAGATCTCACAAAGAGCCCGGTACAGATATTCAGCTACTGATTAATGACAAGGATACCTTGCAAAAACATTATAAAAGTGTTTCACTCTTAACATTTCAAAGTTTTATCACTTTTAAGTTCTAAATTAAAATCATCCACATACCTTAGACCTTTTGTGAAAACACACTTTTCATGGGAATTCAAATTTAATTACAATTTTTAGTATTCATGAAAAGCATAAGAACAATTGACATCTAGTCCTTAAACCTTAAGTTTTAAGACATGGGTGTAGTYCGGCGTTTTCTCCTCTTTCACGAACAGCTTCTGGAGACAAAGCCTTTGAGAAAATGGAAAGAATGAGCCGAGCCCAAGGACACTGTGCCTTTCAGCCGGGCCAGCACTTAGCGGAGCAGTGGTTCCACAAGGTCCAGAGGGCTCAGTCGAGACTTTTCTCACAATAAGGTGTCTGGGGAGGCGGAGAGTGGCACAGCCAGGGGTACCGCGGCTCTGCTCTTTTTTGCACTCAGTTGGGCCCAGCGCACATAATACCATCACCATGCCACAGCGCACCAAGCCAGTGACAACGTGAGAAAACAACCGTCAAACAGTGCAGAGCAGATCAAGCGTGTCTCCTCACTTCTCTGAGTGCAAAAAGCACACACTGCACAGGCACACACACAAGCCAAGAAAATTATCAACACGAACACAGCTAAAATCTGAACATACTCTAATTTATTCTACAATTTAGTGCATGAACTCGTATCTGCATGAACCTTACAACAAATAAAACAGAACAAAAACTTTTTCTACTGAATTCATGATTCCCTTTTAGCAGTCTACCAGACCCTAGCCACTTTTATCATTATCTTGGATTGTATCCTTTAAACCCTTGTTGTTTAACTGTAACTTCACAGTGTTTATCCATGTGTTTCCTCAGCTGTTACTGCTTTCTATTATCCCATTGTGGTCAGAAACAACTTAGCTGGGACTGAAAATGCAAAAGGTGGGGTTTGGAGAGCAAACGACCAACCTAAAGAAAAAGTTTTTCTTTTTTTTCTCTTTTTTTTGTCTTAAGGCAAATACTAAGAACGTCTTGCCAATCAATCTCAGCTAATTCTAGGGCAGACTTGTTTGAAAGAGAAAAATAGAGAATAGACATCTCAAAGTTGGCCTGAACCACCGTGAGCAGCTCAGCAGCCTTTCAAAGAACGAGCTTCTGCCAAAAGCTGCCTCTGCTTAACCAAGTCTCCCACCATCTGCAACAAATGTGCTCTATTAAAGCAGTACCATATGGACAACAAGCTAGCTATTAACACGGCTTCAGCACATCCCTTAACCCAGCCCAGATTTCAAACTTCCAGTCAAATTGACTGCTGATTTAATGCACCGCCAGCAGCCATGTGGGTCTTGGCACGAGGCAGCACTCTCAGTCTTCAGTCATTAACAGGCTCACATAGTGCGCAGCCCACAGTGAGACACAGAAGTGAGCTACGCAGATCGTACTACAGCCCAGGTTAATTAGTATGTTCTCCTAAAATAATGAAAATGAAAAACAACATTGTTTTAAAAAAGATGGAAAGGATCAGGAGAGTTTAACAAAACTTCGACTTGAAGCAAATGGATAAAGTACGTCCACAGAGCCAGTGCAGCGGCCGCCTAGCTGGTGGCTTTTGTTTCAGTTGTTCCATAGTGATGAAAAGTGAAGTTGCTCCATTTGCTTGGATCTAAAATGCCAGGGATTAGCCCTACAGGGTGTAGAGAGGCAGAGGTGGGGTCAGGGGGACATGCTTAAATCCCTTGGGGCCTGGCAGCAATGAGGACACCTCGCCCCTGTCTGAGTCACTAACCGCTCACGAAGCCACGCACTTTTTCTCCACGATAAGACCATGATGTCACGACTGGAAGCTCTGCAACCATGACACGACTTGTACCTAATCAGTTACAGTTTTGTGGTTTTAACCCGACACTAGTGTTCAGTAATTGTGTTTATTCCTTTTGCCTCCTCTTGTCTCAGTTGGTTCCACATTGTACAACAAGCAAAAGACTGGGAGAACATTTCTTCACTTGCAAGGCTGAATGTATACAGTGATGTACCCTGTGCAAATAGAACTATTATGACTGATGGTAACTACTTGTTTTGCTTACTTATTATTTTTAAGCTCAATTGGAGCTTTTAAAACATAAACTTATTGTTCTGTCACTAGTGTCTCTGCAAACTACAAAAAAGAGACTTCACAAAGCCTAATTAAGTAAGGATGTTGGTTTTCTCATCATCACAGTCGTGTATTAAAAATGAGTGTTTGTTGAGGGGAAAAAAAACTACACTTCAGCATCTCATATTTGCATTAACTTAACACACGGACCCTATATGGTGAAAGTTCAGCAAAATATCTGCACACAATCACAGAATCTATGCATGCCTTTGTGCAGGATGCTGGAATCCAAACTCACTCCTTTATGATGCTTTTTACTGAAGCGAACAGCATCCAAGTGACCAACGTAATCTTTCTAGACTGCAACATGTGCAAAACACCTCAGCGTCTGCTTTCACGCACACACCTATGTCAGTCAGATGTGCCAGATGAGTAGTGAATTAATTTGTGTGAGCCACTCCAACATTAGGAAGGTGTGTTGAAAGGTGTCTGCTCATGTTTCAAATTAAACGCGCTGCTGGTCAGCATTAGCACCTCGCCACCCGTCGGCAACTGACACTTAGGGAGCTCYGGGGGAGGAGGGGGGAGGAAGGAGCGAGTGGGTCGGAGTGGGGGGGGGATCCCATCCGCTGTTCACACTGGAATAATTAGAACATGTCAGGAAGAATTAATTTCCTCATTTTTCAAAAGGATACACAGAAATTACCATGTTATTATATGACAGGGTCCCTGGGAGGATTGGATTAAATTTGATTTCTTGTGCAGCCCACACAACAAATTAAAGTCATAAATAAGATGGAAAGAAGCGGGCACAGAGCATATGTTTATGGCAATGAGTGAAGCCAAGGGAGCAGAAACAACCATCTTCATTTCATTTTATTTAAATCAGGCCAACACCGTGTGTCTGAATGACAGCAGTTGCTAATGGGTCGAGATTAGAGGCTTCTTGATATTAACACAGAGGTCCAACATCTTCTACTTAAAAGTAATAAACATGCAGGGCGTCAACTTGCAGATGAGCCTGTTCTCCACAGGTAATGCTCGACACTGTGGTCTTCCAGCAACAGAAAATTATAGCCCAATATTTTACGTCAGTCATTTTCTTCTATGTTCCTACCTTTTATACAACTAATAGAAACAATTTAAATATTTAAGAGTCACTTGTATTTAAACAAATGTCAATGCTGAMTTGCAATGCTACTTGCAACAAATAATGACATTAATCCACCCTAAATTTTCTTTTAATTGCATGTTTTGCAAATTGTTGTTTTAAAAGCTTCTTTTGGGTGTAATGTGTAATCACTGACCCAATTTTTATCCATCAATGTTTTGTTATCTTTGTTGAATTTTGATTCAGTTTTTCAAGGGGACAAAGTATAACAGTATAAATTGCATTAAAAAAATTATTGCACTATAAATGGGCCAAAAAATCTTTTTTTAATTTTAATTTTCATTTAATCTGACTTTATTTCTTAGTATGCGTTGGGTTTTTTAAAATAAATAAAGATATTAGTAAATACCAGAAATGCAGGATGAGTTACAATTCATTTTAACTTCATCAGTTAACACATTAGAGTTCAAATAAGTGGACTGGATTGTCTCAACAACACAAGGCAGAACACTCATCTCACGAGGCTCTGATTAAACTTGTCACCTTACTAATACAATGCAGTGCCATCTTGGCGCAGAAGAGTTTTTCAGCTTTCTCGAAACGGGCTGTCATTAGAGCTCAGTGCTCCCCTGGGCACCACAAACTTTAAATAATTTGCGAATCAATTAACTGGCTACTCTCGACGCAACAGGGATTTCACACTCCGGGGTCGTGGTGCATTATCAGTTGGAGACGATTCATGGCTTTTTGGGCAAGAAGCTCATGGTTGAAATTATTAATTTGTTTTACCAGACTTTTAGTTATGCATTATTTTCTACAGCTGGGGTGCGGGAGGATTAGTAACATGTTCTCTGGTCCTGTTTTTTTAATTTTTTATTTTTTGTACGAACAGTAGATACTACGGGAAAACAAAATGAGAAGCAGGGTGACAGAAAAAAAAACTGTTTTCACTCTAACAATCTACTGAACCATATAATAACAATAAACTCAGAGGTTAATATATGTACACATCTTTTTTGTTAAGTAAGGTTATATCTTTAAAATTAAGTAAAGGCATAATAATACTAATAGCTATCACGTAAATCAATTATTATTCCCAAATTAATTCTGAGGTTCACTGAAGTAACCGAGGTTGATAAGATCGACGCCATTGTCAGGCAGTCATCAGTCTGTTTAGCATGTTGACCACAATCATGGAAGGGTCAATGGACTGAAGAGGCTCATTTGCTGAATAATAGACAGTAAGCGACCATTCAAAGGTGATTCACTTTCATTTTATGATGAAGTGCTGTTTATTTAATTTCTGACAAAATGGCTCCCCACATCACTTCAGTGGAGCCATCGATACGGAGCTGAAAAGCTGCGAGACTGTGTGGTTGCAGCTTATTAGGTAAATGACACATTAACAAAGAGTGTATCCATTCAGATGCTTCAACGTACTCTCAGGTGTTTCCAGATGGGACTGAATGAGTGTAATTAAGCGTGCCATATAAGCAACACAAACTCAATTATTTCCTGTCATATTTGGAGAATAATTAAACCTGCAAGTCAAGAATAATCAGATTCTTGATTGTCTTCAGATCCAGCTAAATATGAGCAAGACTCATCTACAGTTAGCCCTCAGGGGCTTCGTGTCTAACAAATACTGACAGGTGTTTTAAACATTTTTACGAATCGAACACATGATTTTAATCCCCAAATTATTCATATCCTGGTTTTTTTTGTCCTAAAACAGTCAAGTTTTGATGAGTGAATAGCTGAAGTCAGTTCCTAACACTGAAGCAGAATCGCTTTTTCTTTTACATTTAACAATCAGATATTTATTTTTCAACCTAAAACATATTTTTGATTATAACCCAGCCTTGTCTGTCAATGAATACATTTTCTGGAAAAAAATTTAAGTAATCTGTCACATCTAATATTTTAGTAGACCAAATGTAAATTAGGGTTAGGGTTACACTAAATTAACTTTGGTCAATGCTAAAATGTAAGGTATGACAGATTCRGTCAGTAATATTTTTAAGTGTATAATTACTGCCTTTACACCACGTAATATATTAAATGGAACTTATTAAAAATGTGTTGTATTTGTGAACAACTGTTTTTAATGGAAAGGCTTTATTGTGTCAATAAATTATCCGGTGATGTATTTTGCTGAAGTCCATGGAGTGATTTTTTTTCTTTAGACACAACTAATAATTAAATACAATATCTTGCTAAATTTGAGCCAACTGATAACTTGCTGTTGCAACTGTACAATGTTAGCAGCAGAAATCGGTTGCTGGTTGACAGGTGCGTGTTTGTCTGAGCAGAAGACATCGTGTGACYTGAAATGGCATGATCAAACAATGGCAAATGGCCCTGAACTTTGAATTCAGAGGAGGCGTTTCATGGCTGTTATTGAAGAGCCTCCAAGTCACATTAATATGATTCCCATGGTATCACCAATGACATTTGGAAGAAAGGAATAATATCAACTAAGTTCCTCACCTTTATTTGTTTAATATCTTAGATATATTTTCATTAGAAATCCTGCACGGGCTGCAGCTGCACAAAGACTTAGAGTAATATTTATGCAGAGAGGGTTGTGGTGCACTCAGCTCAGTTTTAAAGTTAAATAATAAAAGAACACATTTCATAGTAATTGTATTACTATATTGCTTTGGAAAATTCAAGAAAGCCTCTTAAAATGTTTCTGGGTACAAGAAGTGTTCATATTCACCATAGACCTGGCTGGCTGTGATACTGGCTTAAACATGTTTCCTTAAAGTATTTACAGGATTTGCATACATTGATTACAATAATAATATAGGATTACCTATTCTTTATCTTTCAACAACAACAAAAGGTTTGACCTGACAACAGCAGCAGCATACAAAAAAAAAAAAAATCACAAAAACACAGGAACAAAAAACAATCAGTAAAACTGCACCAAAAATAAGTTTGAGACTAATATTTTGTAAGGTCTGTCGGTAACTTTGTGTCTCGAACTGTTTAATTGTGCATGCATTGTAAGCCCATCCAATTGTCCACCTCATTTAATGCAGGTGTTRAGTGTGGGTGAAAGTCAGCAGGGGTGCAGGAGTCGTGTGGCAAGACAGAGACAGCTGAAGAGGCAAACGGATACTTACAAAAAACTGAAAGACTTGATCCCCAGCTTCCAGTGTTCACTGGTTGGCTGATTTCGAACTCATGTAAATAACCTGGAACGTAAGCACAAAGACAGAAAAAGACTTCATTTAGCTGGGAACACTGCATATTCAATAGAGCTTTCAGATTATTTTAAAACCAGAACACCTGCATTTATCTATATCAAAATGAAAAGTGAAACATGTACAAGTGTTTAAAACTTTCTTCTCTCATGTGTCATTATCCTGTCTTCCATCCACAGCTTTAACTAACAAATAGCTTATAAATCAGCTGTTTTATTTAACGTTGCCGTCTTTCATCAAACAMTGCTTCCCAGTGATTTATTTAAAGGCCATGCTCTGCTAGTTCCAGCTTGTCTTTTGAAATGTTTCTGTTAAAGAGCACACAAAGACCAAGGAGGCTGCCTGGTAGAATAAGAAGGTGCATGTTACAAAAACTTAGGTTTGAAGAAGTGTGAAAAAGAAATTGCTACTCGTTGAAGGCTAGAAGAATAAAATGAGCTGAAGGCTACCTCTGATTATAACTGTTTTAATGCATCATTAACATCATTTCAATCCTTACGACTTGTGACAAATATTCACAGAGATTTTGTATTTTCTTATAAAGTGTGCACGGCTATGAACTTCTTGCCCCCTGTTTTGGCCAGAAGACAGGTATAAAAATATTTAACCCCAGCAAAACATGGCAGAAAAGACAAATCTTAAATCTATATGCAAAAGACKCAAAAAAAATTAACAAGGAATGAGATTATGGAAACACCAATTCATTTTTCTAAGCTCCCAGCGTAGGAAGTGGAAACGCTCTAAGCTCATTCATGTTCATTTTCTCACATTATCTTGTTTTTCACAATAAGCCAAGATCTCATTACCAGCTGATTTATACAATTAGTCCGCTTCAACACTGCCAATTAAACAAGGCCAAGGGTTTTTTTTTAAGGTCACGCTTAACTGATCTGTCACTAATTTGCACTACTGCATCTCAGTCTTCTATTGCCGGGGCCAATAAGCCACCAACAACAAGACTGCAGAAATATATAGACTTGCACAGCATAGTTGTCAGAGCACAGCGCAGTCGGCTGCGTGGGAGGACGGTGGGCTAACGCGGTGAGATGGGTCTGAATGTGGCAGCCTTGAGGCTAGACGTGACAATGGGAGAGAGGGGGACCCCTGTGACCCCCCAGCTGAATGGAAAGCTGCTCCATACAGCAGTGTGTTCCTACCAACACAATAAAAAACACATTTTATTCCATTAAATGTACTTTACACGCATTAACACGGTTTTTCCCTTTTTTATTTTGATTAAAATTATTGTATCAAGTTTTATTTCATTTCAAATAAAAAAGCATCAGCTGATTTAATCATAAGCACCACCTCGGATCTTATTGATTTAGAGTTCATTTCAGTTAATTAAATCCTGGATTCACACATGTACAAGATTAACTTTTATTTGAATTTACTCAGTCAAGAATCTATTCCTTTGCGGGGGTGGGGACATAAAAAATATGGTAATTTAGTCATTCTTTGTCTAAAAACATGAGAGTTCATGTAATCACAGTGTATTATTAAAACAATCTTTGAACTAATAATTTGATCTTAATTGAGAACAATCGGGTAAATAAGACGTGGGGAGCTGGATTCCACTGCTTATTTAAGTTAATTATTTCAGCGAGGGGGAAAAAAAAGAAACACAAAGAAGTTATAATTGAAAATAATGAACGAATCCAGATGACATTATAATGAAGCAAATGTAGGAATCCCTGTGGTTTAGTAGGATTCTGTGTCAACCGGCTATTATTGTAGCAGCATGTAGAACCAGGAAATATTAAATAAACCCTCTTTTATTGCCAATCACATAATTAGCAAAAGGCTTTAAAAACAGTTACAAGCAGACAAGTTATTGTTTGAGTGTGAGACAAACAAACGACTTCTATTTAAGTAATTGTAAAAATAGTGAAGATTTTTTTTTTGCCTGGCTCTCAGGTACCAAACAGTGAACACATGCAGCCGACATCAAAGCAGCGGAGACAGATAGCTCACAGCCACCTGTGGCATTTCTGTCAAAGAGTGGCCTTTTCTCCTGTTTTGGCRGCAAACACACACACACACYCACYCACYCACGCACGRACMCACACAGAAAGAAATGCAATGAACACTTTCATGTGAAGTAATCTTAGCATCATTCAAGTCATGACCTGTATAAATTACACCCACAAACACTGGTTATATTTCATCAGCTTAATTGCTGTCCATCCTGGCTCCACATGTTAGAAAATGCAAATATTTTCAATAAATCAGACAGACTCCAAATCTGAAATTCACATGTTGACCAGTATCTATTTTATCTGTCAGCTTTTTTGGTCATTTGAGTCTGAGCTTCTTGTACCGAACGGGATAAACTAGTTTTACTACCTAGGTCCAGAAATATTCAGTTTCAGATTCCAATTCCGTGTGTGTGTGTGTGTGTGTGTGTGTGTGTGTGTGTGTGTGTGTGTGTGTGTGTGTGTGTGTGTGTGTGTGTGTGTGTGTGTGTGTGTGTGTGTGTGTGTGGTGGGGGGGATACGCTTGATTTAATTTCCCTTGCCCATAACAGAGAGCTGTCTTTTTCATCCATCATGTTACGGAGGCTCCGCATCAATAAGCAGCATCACCACAGCTGTACGGAGCACAGCAGAGGCCAATCTCCATCTGTTCTGACAAAATTCCAGTCGTGGTTCCATGTACTTTATTTAATTCAACATACAGCTGTGACAGTTTTACGTTTCCTGCATGGACGGCACGAGCCTCTGTGTATGCCGATGTGCCGTCTTGCGTACCGTGCATGTGTGCTGAAGTTGTGAATGGGAATACACYCGAGCAAGCCAAAACTTGTGCTTCAACTCCTGATTGGAATATGTCCAGATCTGCAGCGTTTTTAAAAATATCCTCCCAATCCTCCGTCCCAAATCCTCACTCTCCTCTTCGTCCAAACGTGCTAAAGTAGGAATTCTGCAGAGTTAGTTATTTTGACAATAGAGGTAATCTATGCCATCAGTAGGCTGCTCCCTACCTGGATGCAGTGTGGTTATCTCTGCACAAGCAGCAGCCACATAGTTAGGCTGGAAACTGCATGGGGGTTAGGATGCAATAAGATGGGGCTGTAACAGTGGTCCCAGGGGAAATGGGGTAAAGAGTAAGGGGGTGGGGGGGGAGACAGGTGTTGGAGATGGAGCTTAGAACATTCTGGCACAGAAATGTCTGATATCGTAATTGAACATCTGAAATTGCCTGTTAAATACCCAGTTCCACAAAGTTAATTCTTCATGTATTAGCCTCATCTGAGAGGAACAGCGAGATTTGAGGGAAACTGTTGACACACAAACTGTGTTCACTAGTTTGATGGACACGTCTGTGGACAGGTAAACTATCCAGCAGAGTGTCATTAAAAAGACAAACTGGATTTCTATAAGCGATCTGGCGCATCAGTGGCTTATTTGGTGTTGGAAATGTGGTCAGTCACAGCCAAACAGCTGTTATACAACCTTACTAACTCACCCTCTCTGATTTTTATTTCTACTCTGTTTCTCCCAGACTTTTTTTTTGTTATTTAGTTTTGTTTTAGCCGATTCTGCACTGACACTGAAATACATCAGGCAAGACATTCACAAAACGTTTCATGCCAGCGTGTCAAGAACGACTACCAGCATGTCACTCCAGTTAAAAKCATCTTTGTCAAGAGAGTGAAACAGTGTCTGGTGTTTTGGCAGAGCTGATGTCAGATAAAGGAGCGGAGGAAGAAAGTCCCGCTCTTGAGCGGCAGCTTTTGTACTGAGAGTTTGTTACAGGCTCGGTTCAGAAACAGTGCCGTGGGTGAACAAGACTTTCTTGGCAAATACATCATCTGTCATTTCTTTGCATCAAATAACGGGGATAAAAGTCTATTTACTGAGCAACTGAGGCAGGGAGAAAATGTTTTCCTCCACAGTGGACAGCTTTCAGTCCCCAGTGTTCCTAACGGGCTGCTGTGCAGCGGCAGCCGATCACTTCTCTTTTATTTCCTCACACAGATTTTTTMCTCCAAAGACTGTGAAGACAGAGAACACAGAACAGGCTTGTCTTTTGGCACGCTGAGAAGCCCTCTTTTCTTAACTTTCGAGATATGCACACATTTATTTTCCGTTTTTTTTTTCTCCTTGTTTCGTTTTCATTTGGTGTGGAGCTTTGTGTTGGTGTGCATGTTGGGGGCAGGGGTATGAAAACAAGTTGCCTCCCCCCCATTTCTCTCTCCCAGGTAATGTGTTTATTTTCCTGGACCCATCTTCTAGTTTACTGCGTGGTGGCGTTTCTCCCCTCTTATCGCCTGGCCCTCGTGGGGCACTTTAGCCCCTCAAATCCTGTTCACCACATACTGGTTTTAGAATCTGTGAAATGAGTGCTAGAGAAGCGTGGCCACAATGTCTGCTTGTGTTGCTGCTGGACTCAAATGGGCTTGGTGCTTTTTTTRRCCCCCTTTTTTTTTGTCCAGGGAGATGCATAAATGGAAGTTTTTAACACCTCAAAGGAGGCTGGGCCTTTGTGGAGCCACACTAGAGAAGCCTGACAGTCTCCTGAGGAGGCAGACACACTGAGTGCTGCAGGACAAAGAGCTGGAGGAGCAAAATCAGCGGGGGCATCACTCCGCTTTGGGCACCAGACATGCACATGCACACATATAGTTGCACTTACATACATGCACGCAAACAACCATTTCAAAGAGAGAACTGATGTGTTTCTGTCAGCAAATCCAAGATGATCAAAAGAAGCAGTTGTGTCAAATATATCATAACTGTTTTTATGTAAAAAAAAATGTTAMTCGGCTATAACCCCTCATATCTGTTGGGCAACATTGTTTCAGATGGTTGAAAATCAGGCAGCATGCAGCAATGACAAAAATAACTGGTTTTTTAGCTGTTAAATCAGCATACAGTGCTAACTCCAAATAGGTTTATATGTGATTAGTTCAAGTAAAAACACAACCAGCACTGTTTGCTTCTTATTGATTTCAGCTCCACTGTTTGAAAATAATTTAAACATTCCCA